CACGTGGTACCACTGGAATGCTCACAATCACGGCGTCACCTCAGAGGAGATGAAAGACATCAGCGACGAGGCCCACAGACAAATATCGCGTGCGCTGTCTGATCCCCATCGCTACTCCGTCTGCGTCACGGGCGACTTCAACATCTCCGACGGTGACATCGAAGGGCCTGTCTCGGGCACACCCGCCCCTGCATCGTCTCGGCGGTTTGAGGTTGGCTCGTCGCAGGCGCAGCGCCGGCATGAGGCAGCGCGGCGAAAGGCTTGGAAGCGGATGACAGAGCATGATGCTGCCAGACCTACGCACTGGCACCGACCGAACCAAGTACCGTCCCGCACCGATCGCATCTTCCTCTCCGCGCCGACTTGGATTGCGATTCGTTTCTGGCAGTCGGCCGCCCTGGCAGCCGAACCCGAAGAACCGGACCGCCGTGAAATCAGTGATGATTCACCTTTGTCTTTGAGTTGGTCATGTCGTTCAGATGGTGAACGTGCACGGGTCAAGCCGATTGCTGGCTGCATCACTCGCGACCCCGTCTATGCCGAGATGGTGCAGGCCTTTGAGAAAGCGGCCAAGTTGGACGAGTACGACTGGCCCACTGACACTCTCACGAGACAGGCAGTACGGGCGCGACGGGCTGCAGGGCGCGCTGCTCGCGATTCGCTCTTGGCTCGCGTTCGTCCTGGGCCCCAGGGGAGAGCGATGGTCTGGCGATCCGCGTCACGGGCGGTCAGCAGGCACGATGAGCACGCTGCGCTGGCTCTTCTGCTTCGTCATCCGTGGCTTCGCGTGCACCTACATGTCGACGCGGGCCGCGTTCTGATACATCAGAGCGAGGCTTTTGCCATTGCCTTCAATGAGGCCCAGCTGGCCTCTGCGAGGGCGGAGGTCTCCCGCGCCCACGTGTCTCAGGGTGCGCAGGTTGCTCGTGGGCTCTCCTCCGCCCCCTCCATGATGCGTCTCCTGGCCCTGCACAGGAGGGCTCGGCTGTGGGACCCCATGGGCCGCAGGCGTGTCTTGGGAGCCGTCTCGGGGCCCCTTGGAGCGGCGTCGTCTCCGGAGGCCGAGGCCAGGAATATGTCGGCCTTTTGGGCGCTGGTTTTCCAGACCCCGTCGGCCCCCGCTGCAGGCGCGTCTCTGCATGCTGCACGGTTCGCCTCTTCTGTCGATTTCAAAGACGCGCCCCCGCCCAATGCTGACCTGGTGCGGAAAATCATGCGTCGAGCGTGTGATTCGGCCCCTGGACCCGATGGTCTCGCCAACAGCACATGGGCGGTAGGTCGGGGCCCCCTGGTGGCAATCGAAGCCTTCTGGGCGCTCGCGGCTGGGCAGGCTCTTCCGCCGGCTTTCTTCGAGTCCCTCGCGGCCTTCCTGGCCAAAGGAGATGAGCCAGAGGGCGCCGAGGCAGTTACTCTAACCAGGTCCGCGGATGAAACCAGGCCGCTCCTTTGAAGAACTCGCTAAACAAATGTGTAGCTGCTGCAATTAACTGGCCTCTCACATCGATTGTGCAAAAGGTGCGCCCGCGTATGCAGAATGGCTTTATAAGGGGGAGGTCCTTCTTGAAGAACGCGTTTGAGTTGGACGCGTTTGCTCGGATCGGTTCTGTCATGAAGGACTCCCCCCAGCGTGGAAATGCCCCCGAGGATTGGCCCCCCTCTTGATTTCTTTTGATTATGCGCAGGCCTTTCCCAGTGTCTCCCAGTCTTGGCTCCTCTCGGCCTTGCGGTCTCTCCAGCTCCCTCCTGGGCTCACCCTAGCCATTCAATGCCTGTGCCATCTGAATCTCTGCGTCTTCCATGAGGGGGGCGTCCATCTTCCGCTCTTTTTCGCCCTTGCTGGAGTCTTGCAGGGCTGCCACCTTAGCGGACCCCTCTTTGTGCTCGCCTCGAACCCATTCTTGTGGGACATGGAGCGCACGACCGAGGGCACGAAGCATGCTTTCTCGAGCGCGTGTGCAGATGATGTAGGTTCGGTTGTATTCACGGCCACAGGTCTCCGTCGTCTAGCGCGCATATTCTCGCTTGCCTCCCGCCTCGCCTCTCTCGTCCTCAAAGTCGCCAAATGTAAGGTTGTGTCACTTTTCGGGTCATGTGACACCAGCGCTGAGCAACGCGCGCGTGCATTCATCGCCCGTGCCGTGCCTGAGTGGAGGGGGTTTGCGATTGTCCCGTGCTTAGAGTATCTTGGTACACTTATGGGCGCCTCGGCGACGCTCGATGACCAGTGGGAAGCTCCGTGGGCCAAACGTCGTGCCAGAGTGCGTGCTGCCAGTGATTCCTCGGCCGATCTCAGCACTAACGTCTTTTACTTTAAGACTCGTGCGCTCCCTGTTCTCTCGTATAAGGCGCAGCTCTTCCCCCTCCCTCGGTCGCTGGCTATCGAGGAGAGGCACCGTTTTGCTTCGATTTGGAGGACGGCCAGCTCGATTCTGACTTGGGACGGGTGGGTGAGCCTTGGGAGGTGGGGCGGGCCTGACTTTCCATCGAGCTGGGTCCTCGGCTGCGCCTCGCTGATGAGAGCGGTACTCGTCTCGACCCCGCCGTGGCACGTTCAGCTCGCGCAGCTTCAGCATGCTACGCCCGAATTCGGGTCCGCGACTTGGCGTTACTCCCCCTCTCTTGCTCCTCCCTTCTGGAAGTCTCCTGCCGTTGTCTACTCTCTCAGCCAGGCCGCCGCAGGATTTCCCCAGGATCCGCTTCTGGCCAGTGCAGGTGCTGAGTGCTGTGTCTTGTTCAGACAAGGAACGACACCTGGTGGCGAGCAGGTCGTTCGTGCAGGCGCGCGCCCCCGCTGGCAGGCGCGCTTCTCGGCCATCTTCCAGGATCGCCTCTTCTGCGCCGCCATTGCTCCGACGTTCGATCGTCGGGTGTCAAAATGGTTTCTTCCGCGGGGGGGAGTGGGCCTGGTGGACTGGGGGGGGATTCGGGAGGGACTGAAGGCGTTTCCGCTGGCCTGGGCCTCGGCGTGTCTCAAGAGCTGGCTAGGCGGATGGACGACCTCTAGGAGAATGCAGCGCTCTGAGCGCGGGTGTATTTTCGTATTTTCGGTTGTGCTGCTGATGGTTCCGTGTCGCACTACCTGTTGGAGTGTAGGCCTCTGGAGGCCTTGATCCGCGCCGTGCTTTCGAGGGACGTCCCCGCTGATACGCTCGTTCGCCTTGGTTTATTCCCAGTCGAGATCGCCCCAGGCCCGAGTGAGGACGATACTTCATGCAGATACAAGTTTAGTTTTGTTGTCGCCTTCTTCTATGCGCATCGCCTTGCGTCTCAGTTTGGCAGCGCGCGAGTGCGAGCCTCGACGATTCGAGCTGCAATTCGTTTGCCCCTTCCAGGGACCCACTGAACGTTTTTGGGCCCAGAGGTGAGGCGTGGGCACTCATGGATGAACCCCTCTGGGCACGCTCGACCTCCTCCGCCTCCTCCCCCTCCTCCTCCTCCTCCTCCTCCTCCTCCTCCTCCTCCTCCTCCTCCTCCTCCTCCTCCTCCTCCTCCTCCTCCTCCTCCTCCTCCTCCCCCCCCTCCTCCTTCTCATCCTCCTCATCAATTCCTTTTCCTTTGAAATAATTTCTCCCTGTCGCACCCCGAGGCCAGTTTTTAGAGCGGGCTGGGCGTTTCGCTTGGGACTTCTTCAC